GGGTCTGAAGTCAAGAAGCATCCACCTACTGACAAGCAGACCCTGTGAGGGCAGAGACCAAGACATAGGGGTGAGGGGGTGACAGCTTCACGCTATCACTGGTAAGGTGGCCTCCCTCGTGGGCTGGGAAAGGACCTATCAAGGAGACTCGATTCTTTAGGGGAGTGCGGGCAGGATGTAATTCAGAAGCTGCAGGTAACAGCTCCCGGACCTCTGAGAACATTATGGGCCACAAATGGAGACCCAGGTGACAGGGGAAAGCCCCTCGTGGCTCCTCTACCATTGATAGAGAAAACTTTAATAGCAAAAACCAAGGAAATGTTCCAATGTAACATAACTTCTGCCCTTTGTTCTGTTTAGTTCAGAATTAACCAGCACTGGAGGCATCTCGTCTCCCTCAAAAGTTTTGTAAATGAAAAGAACCATTGTTAGCTTTGCTGACCAAACACACGAGAATAGGTAACTAAATGAATCTTAAAGTTAACCTCCCCTACCAAAGAAGTGCTACATCCAGGTTGAAATTCAACTGCCTCACCACATTTTGAATATCAGCAATGTGAACTGTGAAAATGCAACGTAACCACCTGAATGAGATCAAGGCTGTAAAACCCTATAAAAGGGGGAGTTGTAACCCAGTACTGGATCAATCAGAGCACTGCTATTAGGTGTGATCGATCCCCGTTGTTGGAGAAAAGTTTTGTTATTTACTTCCATGCCGCTGCCTCTCTGTGTGTCGCTTGCCAGTTCCTTCCGTAACACCATCTCGGCCTTCTCTCCCCACTGTCATCTCATTTCCTTTATACACGTATTTGTGCCCTGCAAGATCAGACTGTTCACTGGCTTTCCAAGAATACGCACAATAATGCCTGACACACAGCAGGCCCTGATATCTGCTAACACATGGTGTCAGGCAGTAGAAGAGAAATGCACGGGGTCAAAGGAGGAGGCAGAACTGAAGCAAGGGAACCTAGGAGGCCAATGTCAAGGACAGCAGGGCCACCATGAGAAACCCCAAATGGTCCAGCTGAAAAGAGCCTCCCGAGGCCTTAAGACCATAGGTTCGGAGGAGCGTTGGACATACTGAGTAGGCAACTCACCCAGCCCAAGGCTGTGGAAGCCCTTCTCTCAGTAACAGCTCCACAGGGGTACACAGAGCAAGAGGCCTGGGTCCCCAGCCAGACTCAGCCCAGGGTAGCCATTCCTAGCCCAATCACCCCTGAAATTTTTTAGACCCACACACAGCCACCTCTCTACCTGGAGCCCCCTGGACATCACTGATCTGCCGTGAGCTAAACTAAGCCCTTATCCCCAAATCCCTCACCTCCTTCATTATCCCATTTCACCAAGGGGCCAGGCCACCCCACTGGTCACTCAGACCACCACTATGGAGTTGGCTGTATTACTGTTGCTGCAATCCTGCCAGATTCTCCCTGACCACTCCTCCCACCTCCATGGCTCCACTCTAATGCAAGCCACCCCCAGGCCTCAACTGCTGGGCTGCTCTCCCAGCTCTACCCAAGCTGTCTCTCCTCGGACCTTAACACAATACCTTGAAAACCTGATTCAGGTCCTGTGGCTCCAAGCTCAGAGTTCATCCAATGTGCTCCTTGTGGCCGACTGCCTGAGCCACTGTCCCAGACACCTCTCTAACATTCCCTCTCCTCTCTCTGGCTCCAGCTGGCAACTGTTCAGACACTCGTGATCAGGACTCCTTCCCCTGCTGTCACTCACTAGGATGTTCCTCCCCATATGCCTGGGTGCCCCCACACAGGCCTTGGGTTTCTGGTCAAAGGCCACCCCTAAGAGGCCTCCTGACCACTCCTCCAGCTTCTCAGGGAGTTTACCTGCTTTGTCACCAAGGGCCTGAGCTACATGTTTATTCAACTGTCCCCTCCTAGGATGCCACATGAGCACTAGGGCATGCACAATGGAGCCTGCAGTGCTTGACACACAGTATGCCCTCTATAAGTATCTGAGGAATAATTTCATGGGCCTTCTTGCTGTGGTTTGAATATGGTCTGATTCTTGTCCCCCAAAGGTTTACATGCAGGAAGCCTGGTCCTCAGTGTGGCAGTGTTGGGAGATGAAAAAACTTTAAGTGGGGAGTGACAGTAGGGGGTTAGGCCATGGAGCTCCACCCTTGGAAGGGACTGATGTGGGTATCACAGGACTGAGTTAGTTATCTTGTGAGTAGTTTGGTCCAAAGCACTCAATGCCCTCTATATGTAGCCCTTTCCCTTTTCACTTCTTCATAATGTTTTGATATAGCCAGGGTACCCTTACCAGGATGCTGATGCCACATTATTTAGAACCTCCAGCTACCAGAACTGTGAGCCTCAACAAAACTCCTTACTTTATAAAGTATCCAGTCTTGGGCATTTTGTTATAGCAATACAAAATGGGCTAATATGCTCTTCAAGCCCCATTTTCCAAGGGGAATAATAATAAGAGCAATTTGCAGTGAAGACTCATTTGAAATACTGCATGAAATGCACCCTGCACAACATCTAACCACATCAATCCCACCAAATACTGGTAGTTCTTAAAATTTAATAACTACTATGCAAGTGTTTTTGTGTATGGCCTCTTTACTGCTTGTGGTGGGGCTTCTCTTCCCCAGTGCATTACAGAGCTAGGGCTAAAGCCCCACCCGACTTTTTCTGCCTCCAGATGCTTCTGTGGCTCTCCCAGGGAAGTAGCCCACTGAACCACATGTTATGTCCCTTTCCTCATTCTGAAAGGATTTTGAAGGACTTCTTCTCTTTCGCACTAATGACCACAAGCTATTCCAGTGAATATTTTTTTTCAAAATGAGGCAAATGAAAAACTTATGGCCAAAACAAAACAAAACTGCTTATGCCAAACACAGATGCAAGCTGCCTATCTCCAAATCTTACTGCATCTGTGCATCTGAAGCCTCGGCTGTTCTGGACATCTTGATGGGCCTTGATTCAGGTTCAACATGAAGTATGCAAAAATTCACTGCTGGAAGGAACATCAGGAAATGACCAAGAAGGCTTGTGCATGAATAAAAGTGTCCCCAGGACCACAGTGCATGGGCCAGCCTGGCCCTTGGTATTGAGAGACCTATGGGCACTTGAACAGTGCCAGCAGGGAACCAGAGGATGAGGATCCCATCCACCTGTGGGAGCCTGCAGGGAAAACCTTGTGTCCAGGAAAGAGCACACACACCCAAACACCCCCATTAGCTAGGACTACAGTGTATTGTCAGCTGGGACCAACAGATTTTCTTTCATGCTTTCTTTTTTGATTTTTTGAGATAAAACCAAAGAGACATAGGGTCTCACTATGTAGTTCAGGCTGGCCTCAAACTCACTATGTAACCTGGCTGGCCTCCAACTCATAGCAATCCCACCTCAGCCTCCCAAGTGCTGGAATTACAGGCGTGTACTGCCATGTCTGGCTCTCAACAGCTTCTCTAATACCCTGCATTTATTTCCTGTGGCTGCCACAACAAATTACTATAAATTTAGTGGCCTAGAACAACAGACATGTGGTTCTGGTAGCCAGAGCCTGGATTGAGCATCTTCATCCTCAGTGTCCCCTATCTGAGGTACCAGTTCCTCCTGGGCAGGGGGTCCATGGAGAGGACACAGGAAGAGTGAGGGACAGAGGAAAGGCTGAGCATACCAGGTACCGCCGGTATCCACCCTTGCTGGCAAGAGAGGATCAGGTCAAGGCCAGCACTGGCTGAGGCTTCTTAGGAACAGAGAGAATCTGCTCGCTGGTCTGGGTCCTACCTCTAGAAGCACGTCCATATGTTCATCAAAGACAGCTCATTTAAGAGGTGGCTAGCTCGGCATGGTAGCACACACCTATAATTCCAGCATGTGGGAGGCAAAGATAGGAGGATCACCATGAGCTCAAGGCTAGCCTGGGCTATATAGTGAGTTCAAGGCCAGCCTAAACTACAGGTTGAGACCTTGTCTCAAAAAAAGAGGTGGCTGCTGTGAAGTTAGCTACCTGCCTGCCCCCCTCACCAGATGGAGAAAAGGCCCAATCATAAACCACATGAAAAAAATGTCCTGTTCCATCCTAGGACTAAGGGCTCATATTAAATGAAAACAGATAGGAACAATGTGTTGCCGACGCAGATCTTGGCCTTCTGCAGATTAACCTCAAGGGCAAGCACGGGGTGTCCGAGGCTCTGCATCAGCAAGCCCCAGTACACTGAGCCCTGGGACTACCAACTCGGCTATATCAGGAGGGGTATAGCAGAGAGTCTTGGCAAGCTTCCCCAGGACCACCTCCCACAGACACCCACAGGACAGGGGCCAAAAATCCCAAGTACTTCACCTGAAATCTTGATGGGGGCAAGGGGCATCTCAGAGAAAGGCTGCTGTTGGCCAGGCCCTTCTCCACATCTTGCTCCAAGGGCCCAGAGCCCACTGCCCACCATGAAGCCCTTGGACCTCCACATATCCCCTTGTGTCCAGACTGAGATGGTGCCTGTTGTCCTCTGATTTCAAACCCTGTGGGCCTGTTCTTGCCACCCAGCAGAGCATAAGCTCCTTTGCAGGAAGCCACATACAGAAAAAGAACAATGCACACCAGGGGGAAGGGGTTTCACAAGAAAATGACTCTATGGATGACGGGGCAAACAGGGAAGACAGCCCCTACAAGCCAGGCAACTGGCTTTATAAACCAAAAGGCTACTCATGAGAAGCATGGGTACTTGAAGTACCCACCAGGCAGCCTTCCTTTCAGGCTCTAGTGACACCAAGAGGCCGAACCCCACTGCCTGGACCACCCAACATTAGCCCAGGGCAGCCTGCTGGTGCAAGGCAGGAGCTTCAGCAATGTGCCTTCGTGGAAGCAAGGAAGCAAGCATGGTCAGAAAGCAAGGAAGGGGATGGTGATGGATACAAGAGGGCAAGGCAAAGCAGAGCATGTATTCATTCATATGTCTGGACAGCAGCGATCCCCACCCCCAGCCCCATTCCAGGTTCACCTGCTGTGTTAGGTGCAAGCGCACTCACCACATTCCAGAAAAATGGATTAAAAGCGATGGTGAGGACGGCTGCCCCAAAGCTGGAATCCAAAGGATCCACGTAGTGCAGCAGCCAGGTCATGACGCAGAGATCTGCCTGCAAGGAAGAGCGGTGTCAGCCAGAGGTCACCCGGTGCCACTCAGAGACAGCAAGGACCTGGCCCCAAACATGGAGACAAAGTTACCCTCCAGGAACAGGCCAGGAGGCTTGGGAACATCTATATCCAGCCAAGGCTACCACATTGTAGTCATAAAATGGAGATAAAAAGCAAAACCCAGTCATCTGTGTCGTGCCCTGTCAGAAGAGCAGCTGGGCTGGCAGCCGCAGAGGCGGGCATGGCACTCACTGGACGAGGAGCTCAGCAACTCTGAAGATGGCATTCTGCACCCTCAAAAGGAAGTGACACCGGGCCTGGTCTGACTGGGACCCTGCAGGATAAGGGTCTCAGAGGCCCAGTGAAAACTCAGGAGACCAAAATGTATGTGAAGAGACACTTGGCGTCACCAAAAATCGGTAAAAGCAAATCACGATAGTAATGTGCCTCTTCTCACCGAAACGTAACAAGAGACCATCTAGAGTGTCGCTGAGGGTGTGCACAGGATCTAGCAGACTGACAAAGGATGTTGCCAGGTCTCCATAGCCCGGTGGCCCACCCACCACACACAAGCACATGCCAGCATGCTCCTGCCAGCCTGCAGCAAAATGGTCAGAGACACTAAGGTGGACCAAGGTAAGCTCACCGGTAGAGGCTTGCCGAACATATCTTATATGAGAACTACCTAGATGCTGTCAACAGACCGAAGGAGAAACACAACGTGGTCCATGTATAAATATCGAAGGCACAGAAGCTTAAAAAAACTAGATCCACACTGGACATGATGGCGCACTCCTATAATCCCAGCCCTTAGGAGGTTGAGGCAGGAGGTTCACAGTGAGTTCAAAGCCAGCCTGAACTATATAGGAAGATCCTATCTCAAAAATAAATAAACAGGCCGGGGATTTAGCTCAGTGGTTTCACCACCTGCCTTGCAAGCACAAGGGCCTGAGTTCAATCCTGGTACCAAAAACAAACAAACAAACGAATAAATAAATGCTAGCCCTATTTGCAACAACACACATGTTCACTACGATATTCTCAAAAACATAAAGTTAAGTGCCAATAACAAGTTGCAACATTCAGGGTATAGACATAGATTTTAGAAGTATAAAACAATATAGTACCAAATATCCTTTCTCTGAAAATGGTTTAAAACAAATGAGAAGCCAGGTGTGGTAGCAATGTCTGTAAGACCAGCCATTTAGGAGCCTGAGGCAAGAAGATTCCAAATTCAAGGTCAGCCTGGGCAACAGAGCAAGAACTTGTCTGTCTCAAAATTTTAAAAATATATCATTGGGGCCAGGGATTTAGCTCAATGGTTCTGCTGCCTGCCTCACAAGCGCAAATCCCAAGTTTGACCCCCATTTCCAAATATATATATATGGTTGGGTTTTTTGTTTTGTTTTGTTTTGAGACAGGGTCTCACTATGTAGTTCAGGCTAACCTTGAACTCACTATGTAACCCCGGGCTGGCCTCAAACTCAAGCGATCCTCCTGTCTCCGCCTCCTGAGTGCTGGGATTACAGGGGTGTGCCACCACACCCAGCCAACTTCGACATTTTGAGTGGTGAGTCCTTGCATTCTTCTTGAAAATTTTCCCTTTTTTTCATTTTAGAAAGAATTTGAAGCCAAGCACTTTGGCATAGGCCTGCAATCCCAGGATTCTTAAGACAATGAGGCAGCAGGATCTCAATTTTGAACCCAGCCTGGGCAACTCAGCAACTGAGACCTTGTCTTGTAACTTGTGTTTGTTTGTTTGTTTGTTTGTTTACCAGGGGATCAAACTCAGGACCCTACACTTTTGAGGCAGGCAGCAATACCATTAAGCTAAATTCCTGGCCCTTGAAACTGTTTTTTAAACTCCCACCCACACACACTAGGGATCTAACTCAGGACCTTCCACTTGCAAGGCAGGTGTGGTGCCACTGAGCTATCCCAGCCCTTGTTTTTTTGTGTTGTTTTGGTTTTTTTGGTTGAGACAGGGTCTCACTATGTAGTTGAGACTGACCTGGAACTCACTATGTAGCCTAGGCTGGTCTCGAACTCACAGCTATCCTCCTGCCTCAACCTTCCAAATGCTGGGATTACAGGAGTGCGCCACCATGCCCAGCTCCCCAGCCCTTGTTTTTTAAACTTTTAAAAGAGTTATGAAGATCCTGGGTTCGAACCTTAGTACAACCAAAAACAAAAACAAAAACAGAAAAAAAAAAAAGGAAAGGAAATAGCAGATACCCCTCTGTATACAATTAAAAGTAAAAATCACAGTAAAAGATACAATAAGGGTTATGTCCATCACTGCGGTGACCTTTCCCAGGCCTGCTATGATGGGGTGTTTCATTTGCTGTATAATAAATTATTTCAAAAAGTGCTTTATCTCCCACTTTTCAGGGTGAGATGGGGAGAAAATGCTGCTCTGCATTGCCAGCACCCTAAACACCTGCAGGGCTCCCAGCCCAGAGGACCAGTAGCAGCCTTCTCCCCAGTTCTAGCTTCACTAAGCAACTGCTTCCTGGCTAAGGTCAGCCTGCCATTCAAACAGCACTGCTGAGTGTGACAATAGGAATATTCTAAAAAGACACTAGGGACTAGGTGTCAATATGAAACCATCTTCCACTCTGGCCTCCTTGCCCCTTCAGCCTCGTTTCTCAGGCAAATCTTCACCTCCCCACAGGGCCGAGGTTGGAGCTCAGTCAATATTAGAAGCTCAGATACAGTATACAGTGGTCCCCCTCATCCATGAGCCGGACATCCCAAGATCCACAAGTGCAATAATTTGCACAGAATCCACTTAGGCAGTGGCAGGGCAGGGAGCCACTGGGCTGACCCCAGCACTAGCCACTGCATGGGCATCCAACTAACCATCAGATCCTGAACTGCTAAGCCCGTGTGGCAGCACAGCAGGGCTCTCTGGCAGGCCCCCCTGCAATGCAGAGCTGGGCAGGAAGCACCATGTGGCCCAGAGCACACACCACTCCCAAGAGATACCTGCCCCAGCAGGAAAGAATAGGACAGAGGCCAGCTAAGCACATATCCACAGCTTGTAGATTCAGGGTCTCAAAGGGAGCACCAGTTTTTCTTCTTTGATAATAACATTCATTAAGCACCCTCTGATTGCAAGACCCTGCACACTGGTGGCTGGGAGCAGATAAACAGGTATGGGGAGAGGAAGGCATTGGTCTAGGACCAGACTCCTTTGTGTGGCCACTTCTTCAATGTGAACAGCACACCCTTACCAGTGGGAAGCCCTCACTCCCTCCACCCCTTCTCCTGATCACCATCTCAACCCCCAGCCAGAACCTCACCTCCCTTCCGCCACTGTCCCACCCTGCCTCATTCTCCGGTCCAATCACCTAAGCCGTCTTTCTAAACCACCCAATCCATGTCCAGCCTCCTAATCCCAGGTATAGCAAAGGTCCCTGATAGGACCTCACAACCCACTGGCCACCCTCACCCCAGCCCTCCTGACCTACACATGGTACACCACTCCCAGCACACACTGGCAGCATGAGTCACACCCACTCACAGGCAGACCTTCCACAGCCTGGCCAGTCCTTCACCTGCCACCCCAACTACTCACACAGGCCCTTTCACAATGCACGTGCCTGTAATGTCCTTAGTCCCTCCGCACCTCACTAGCAAACTCCTATTCATCCCTCAAGATCCAGCTGAAGTACTCCTCTACCTCCCACCTAAGGTATTCACTATGTCCTTCTAGAATGCCTGTTGCAATTATTTGATTATTATCCCTGTTTCTGTAACAGTTCCTCAGGCAAGAGACTATTTTTTTTATTGATCTCTTTGTCTCCACAGAGTAAATGTTTGCTGAGTGAGTGGTGGCTGCATTTCACCACTAGTACAGCTTGAGGGCTAATGGTTACCTCTAAGGGGCTCTCAGCCACCTGTGGTCTGCCTCCAATCTCGCTTTGGAAGGAAGTACAAAATTTCCAGAGCGGCCCCGTGGGGATTCTGCAAGCAGGTGGGCAGCTGAGCAGCCTGGGATGATTAGCAAAATCCACCGAGAGAAGGGGCATAGGCTCTTGTGAAGCTACAGAGCCTGCTTCAGCAGCCACTCAGACACTGGGCATCACAGATGGTTGTTTTTATGGCACATTTTGGGGCTGAGCCACGGGGAAGGTTGGGGAAGGAGAGCACTCTCTAGGAGTTTGAGACCACAGGGATGGAACCTCAGCCAAGCAGCCTGAAGTCCCTGGGTGAGGCTCATCTGTCCCTAGGTGTGCAGCTGGGTGGTAGGTGTGTTGGGAACAACACCAAGGATGCAGGGCCATGGCTAGGGCTAAGAGGCCTTGCCCTGAATGTCACTCCCCACACACACCCCTGCAGCCACCACAATCCCTGTTTATCCATCCATAAGCCAGTACTCCCCATACTCTGGCCCTGCAGCTCCCTATAAAGGACAGACAACTGGTGTGTGGCGGGGGGGACTGGGTTGTGGCTCAGTGGTGGAGCACATGCCTCACACGTACCAGGCCCTACAGGTCCCATCACGGTACTGCAAAGAAAAAAAAAAAGAAAGTCCCATAAGAGTTTACAGGGCAATTCTACAGATGAGGGTTTATTGCTAGCCAGAACATCCCTTGAAGGAATGTTCTACACAAGGCACCATTCTTTTGCACTAGAATTCTCCAGTCTTCTGTTCTCCTGAGGTGCCGGATGTCAATGTGATAGAAACCTGCTCCGCACAGGGAGGGTATACAGTGGGCTGTAGTTGAATCTCACTGAGCAGAAGGACATGCCATCTTCTTCCTCTTACAGAGGACTAGTCTGAGGGCAGCAGCTGTCAAGGGTTGGTGCAGGGTTCTAACCAGTGCTCTCTCCCAAGGGGATGCTCAGGGCACTCCTGTTTCTGCTGCTGGTAAACTACCAGGTTCCAGCTGGGCACACGGCACTGGCTGTACAAGTGACCTCTTAGATACCTACCAAGCCAGTGGCAAGAGAATGACAAGTGTGCACTGCACCAGGACCATCAGCTTGCCCCATC